CCGTCTCGGGCGGGGCGCCCCCCCCGCCCCCCCCCCGCCCCGGTCCCTGCCAGCGCTGCCTGTGGCAGTCGGCGCCGCAGGGGTGTCCCACGGACGGGCAGCACCCCGCAGCTGGGTGGGCACCGTTCCGTGGGGCGGTGGGGCCACAGCCCTGACTGCTCTCAACCTCCTTCCCAAAAAGGACCAACTCTGGGTACACCTGTGCACGCGCCTGTTCCTCCCCTCCCAGTCAGTTACTGACCCCGGGGCCAAACGCCCCGGCCTCTGCCCTGGCTCGACTGCTGGCTGCTTGGTGTCCCCACCTCTGCTGCAGCGCCAACAGAGAACAATAACGAAGCTGCCATTTCCCAGCTGACCATTTCTCATTGTTCCTCTGCTGGTGCTGTTTCTCAGGGGCAATTCCTTTCCCCTTCCTGTTCTGCCACGGTCTGGGGAGCCCAGGAGGACAAGAGCAAAGACCTCAGGCCCAAGATGTTTGGGAAATACAGCCATCAGAGCTCAGGTCAGGCCTTCCTTCCCTGAGGGCAGGATCGGCACAGCTCCCTGAAGAGACTGCAAGGAGAGGAGCAATCGCATCTCCTTCTCTGCCTTACAGAATCAAAGCACTCTGGTCACTGGCTGCTGTGAGAGTGGGGCGGGCAGAAGCCATGACCTGTCCCCCTCCGGCCTCCCTCCCTCAGCACATCAACCTTCAGAGCTCCGCAGGGACCGGCGTTCCCCACTGGCCAAGCCTCCAGAGCGCTGCAGGGAAACCAGCGGACCGTGGGCAGCGCAGAGCTAGGCACCCCTCCCGGAATAACGGAGGCCAGCTACCAGGCCGGCTGTGACTCGCCCCGAGCTGCCTGACGGCACTCACCATTCTGACAATGTAGTTGTGGAGCTGCTGACTGATGTAGTTCACAGTGGTGCTGAAGACACGCTGCAGAAGGGAGGGCATTGTATTCGCAATTTTTTTGGTTAAGACCATTGCTAGCACCAATATGGCCTTCTCCTGTTCCATGTCCGAGGGGATGGCTTGCGCAAGCCCTTCCACCGCCTCTGACAGGAGCCGGGTTATGTCCTGTATGGAAGGAAGAGAGGGATCTCAGTGCAACGGCTGTGGGAGAAAGGGGTCTCAGCAGAGCCTGCTGGCAGCGTGCCGGTAACTGATGTGCTTGTTCTAACACCTCGCAGGATGCCGCTCCCCTTCCTCCCGGGCACGGCAGCCTGCCCGGTACACACCCTGGACAGCAACAAGGATCACTATCTCTCAGCTCAGCTGCTCGCTGAAGACAAAAAGAAAGGGCGACAACACACATACCACTGGGAAATTTAGACAGCACCTTACACATTCAGGGTGCAACAGCCCCCCTTCCTCCCCAGGGTCTGCACCTAGCCTGCCGCGTCCTGAAGTGGCACAGGAATCCTGGGGCTCCCAGGACAGGGCAGCCCACCTAAAACACGGTGAAGGGCACAGGTACAAGCTTAGGCAGGACTGGCAAGAAGGCAAACTGAGTTTCCACATAGGCAGGAGCTAGAGAAGGTGTCTGAGCGTGGAACAAACACTGCCTTGCTCCCAAGATCAGTGGAAGATCAGTTCCCAAGAGGGACAATGTGCATACTGCACACACTAAGCTACACTACTAATGTGAAAAAGCAAAGTCCCCCTGCTCAGAAGTTAGGTTTGTCTCAGCCTTACTGAAGGCTGAAAGGTTAGGCAATAAATTTGAAGGCCTGAAACTTAACTGGGCAGAGAACAAGAGAGCAGGAGCGGGGAATGGTCGGACTTCGCTGGAATCAGTCTGTGCAGGTGATAAACCCTAGTAGAAAGAACCCACACCACAAAAAAAAAAACAAAAAAAAAACACACAAAACCAAAAAAGATTGAAGTCATTAAATCCTGCCTTTTCAGCCAGAAGGTGGACCTTCAATTCAAAGACAGTATTAGCTTGTAGAGCATAGGAAACTTCATCACAGGCAGAGAAACCCAAACAAGCTAGAAAGCCACAGTTATCTTGAAGATGCCAAAAAGGCTCTGTGGAAGCAAACTGTGGCTCTTGATCCAGATGTGGATCCCATCCTTAAAAAGAAAGAGGGATGTCTAACACAAGGGACCTCAAGCTCTACTTCCCTTGCAGAGCAGTGAGGCACGTTAGATGCTGGGCCAGGGACTACATCACATCTACTGCTGGGAGAGCGACTGCATCAAGGAGGCAGAGATGCCACCTAGAGAGGCCTTCTCAGCAGGTCGCCCATCCAGGCCAGAACCCACTCCCACTCCCACCACTGACAGCCTATGAGCTAAACGGTTATGGCACCAGAAGAGGGTCTCGCTACTTGCTGTCTCTTCAGTATTCAGTAATGAGCACAAGTCAAGCTCTGGCACTAACACTGCTCAAGTTTTACCCACGCAACAAGCAGCGGACATACAGGACTCAGCACCAAAGTCCAAAGATCTTAAGGACAAATACTAAGCCTTAACCAGACAGTTGATTTTCAAAGATAAGGCATTGAGCCAACAAAACGAGGACAAAATGCCTCTGAAAGTCAGTCTTTCTCCACAACTACCTCAATTTCACGATCTGCAGAAAGGAGATGAGCCCAAGGAACCCAATTTGAAGGGCAACAGCTGCCACAGGATACAGCATCATCTCTACCAAATCTTCAAAAGGTAAGTGCTTGGGCTGAATATTAAGATTGCAATAATTAAAGCAGCAAACTAGCAAAGATACAGATGTTGCAAGCTTGCTGCTTCAAAGTCACAGCAGGAAGAATGCACAGCATTTAAAAGGGGAACTGCTAGTCAGGTTGCTTTTCACTCACCTCTCCAGACAGATTCTCATTCAGAAAGTGCTGCACTAGATCATTTACTACTCTTGCTTGGATTTCTTTATCAAACTGGTCTCCAATCTCAGCCAGCTGAGCAGCAATGATCCGGACAACTTCTTCATTTACCTCAGGGGCAAGCACTGCCAACACATACAGCAGGATTTACTTCACAGGCTGTAGTCAGACTGGGTTCAGTGCAGATAGGCTGACCCATAGCATTTTGCCCATCTCCATTAACAGCCTCCTTCCCACCCCACCCCAATCATACTGCATTTGTGACCGCTATACACACTACAACTCCCTTGTGCGCGCTCGACTCATTTACTTGAGACAGCACGCAAACAGGTTTTTTATCTGTAGTTTAGGTAAAGTGCAGCCTCACCCTGCCCAAAAAACACTACAGGAGAGGTTAGAACATCTCCAACCAGAATTTGTACAGGACAGCTACAGCCAACACCCTGCCTAGAGAGGGGAAGTGAGAGAGTGTGCATGACTTTTCCAAGTGACTACTGTCAGGATCTGTCTCTTAGGCACCACGTGCAATACAGCATCTCGGACTCTTAGAACAGTTTGGGTCAGAAGGGACCTTTAAAGGTCATGTAGTCCACCCCCCTCCAATGAGCAGGGACATCTCCAACTACATCAGGTTGCCCAGAGCCCCGTCGAACCTTGACTGTTTCCAGGGATGGGGCACCTACCACCGCTCTGAGCAACCCAGTCCAGTGTTTCACTGCCCTCACTGTAAAAAATTTCTTCCTTGTACCTAGTCTGAATCTACCCCCTTTTAGTATAGAACCATTACCCTCCGTCCTATCTCCTTTTGGCAAAGCTTCCCATTGTCACCTGGGGCATGAGACCTATCCAGATTTGTATGAGGGAGGGCTATTTGCTGTAGCAGTTCCTCCTCACCCTGCTTAGGTTGAGGTCAATGTGCCAGCTGACACATCCTGGGCAAGAGGCAATAGCCACCCTGCAGATGGCTAATGAAGCAGGAACAGTACCAGAAAGTATTTGAGGAACAGTTTCCACCACACTGGTAGAGCACAAAGGGGTTCACTCAGTACCAGAACAAGAGTTGTTCCAAAATCCCAGCCCAAATACTGATACTCCCTGAGGAGCGGCATGAGGCCTAACTTAACTGCTTAATATCACACCCCTTGAGGACAGCAATCATTAGTACCAGCTTTGTGGCCCTTGTCTGATGTGCTGCAGACAAAACCCCAGGGTGAGAGGTGCTCTAGAAATCCATGGGGAGATAAAGTGCCAAGCACTAGCTGTCTTATCCCAAGTGTTAAAATCCCAACACCACCATCACCACCAGACACACTGTGAAGTTTCTCAACGGAGAAAACGTTACTCCTCTGAAACAGGCCAGCAGCAAAGATGGGAAAAGGGGAAAGAAAACCACCGCTTTCAGAGAGGCATGTAGGATGGAGAAAAGAGTACTCACCTAGCTCACCATTCTGCAAGTGGCCGCTCCGATTGCCATCGGTCTGAAGTTCCACCTCATCATCATAGCAGTAGCTGCCTTTCACAAAAGGCACAATCCCCCGGCCTTGCAGGGAATGCAGCTGCTCTCTGAACTTACAGTCAGAGGATACCTCCAGGAAGGTGTACAGCAGCACGCTCTCCATCTGGACAGATCCATTGATCTTAAACATAAGAAAAATCACTGTTAAGCCCATGCCTAGGAGAAGCCCCACTGAAAAGGTCTATGCGTATGCTGTTTTCCAACCCTCAACACGTTTTTCTGGCCTCCTTTGGGCATCCTGGATAGCGTTAGCCAGGAAGTCCACAAGACTTCAGCAAATGCATACTAACTCCTGGATATGTACCCACAAAGAACTGTCTGATGGTGAATGACAGATGGCTCTGTTCTTACAAACCAGTGGTGGAAGAATCAGTTCACCTTCTCCTCACGTTTCCAGCTGTGGCAGTGACAGAAACCCTGATCAGAGCTCCTCTTTTGACACAGATGTACTCGGCACAAACCACCCACTTCCCCCGTTCAGATGTGTGTTTGGAAGGTTTTTACCCCTGTATTTGGGAATTGGGCATTCTACTTCCTGTGCATAACAAAGCCAGCAGCTCCCTGTTTAAATGTAATCAGAGCATAGTAGTAACAAGGTGGGAAACAGAGATAATGGATAGCATAAGCCTGCAAAAAACCCCAAGGTTCACATTTCTTCTCCCTCTTCAAAGGGTTCTCAACTAGCTCCATCATAAACCTGTTCAGCTCCTGTAGAGAGCCAAGCAGCTGCTCACAAGAATAGCGAGATGGCAGACCATTTGTGCCTGGTATCGTCTACACTGGCACATTCACCCACAGTGAACAGGCACACACTGCTTCCACAGCCACGCACCCTGCCACCTTCAAGCACGGCAGCACAGAGCACCCAAATTAGTTCAGCTGAGGACGTCCACAAAGGCAGTCAGATTGATGTGAGCAAGCGGTCCCACTACAACGTGGGGCCTCATAACCAGCTAAAGCCTCTGTAGAAAACCAGGAAACTGTCCCATAATTTTAGTTAAGCAGCTAAGAGAGCAGGATTTTGTGTAAGCACAGAAATAAAGAAAAAATCCTTAGTCTGGTATGCAGACTGTCTGCCCATAAGATATGAAAATGCTTAGGCTTAATAAGGTAACTGGGGAGAAGAATCAAGGCTAAAGTAGAATGGTTTGTCTTGCCCACTGCATAAGGAAATCAACAGGCAAACAGGATGATCCTGCTAATTGAAAGGGAGTTTCAGGTACCTTTCGGGGAGTGGAACCTTGCAAGGCCACCTATATCTACATAACCATATCAGGAACATCACACAGGACCCGTATTGACTAGGCAACAGTAGCAAAATTGGGACAAATGCATAACAAGTAATTAAGGATGGGTTGTTTACTTGAGAGGAGACTGGGCAGAGAAAGAGAGGAATAAGAACAACAAAAAGGAGAGTCCAGAAATGGAAACAAATGGAAAATAAGGTATATGATCGGTCAAAGATCAACAGAAGGCACATCTTCCATGATCTGAGCACGGATGTTCACAACCAGCAGTGAAGCTCACCCAGCGACCCAAGCTCACTGGGACACCACTGGCAATCCCCTTGAGCAACCCACTGGACTAGTCATCAGGTTTATATTCAGAAGGATTGTGGGAGGGCAGAGCAAAGAGGGCTATAATTGTACCCTAACACCAGGTGGGGTGAGAAGGATGATAGACATTTCAATAGCAGTTTAATAAGATTTAAGCGTGATAAATAGTAGCTTCATAATTGTGATTAATATTGCACAGAACAATGCAATAAATTGATCACAGTGGTGTGTCTATTAATTTGATTTATTAGTTTTAGTAGTTTGTAGCTTAATCAATAGACACGATAGTCTCTTCAATAGCTACATCTCCAGCCTGCAGTTTAAAGGGGGAGTGTCACACTAGGGTAACAAGGAAGCAGCTTGCAAACTAAGTGTTTCCATCCACTTTTTGTCTGTATTCATGATGGAGAGGAGCAGTGTCGGGGTTCCTGAAGAAACTCTGAGGAAGAGGAGATGGACACAAGCCGGCACTTTAAGGCTCATCCCCTTTGAGGTATCTCGGAACAAGTGCACAAGAGAACCAGTGGTCACTGTGAACCACTGGCTTCACTCATGTTTGAAACTAACCTGTTCCATGACGGACTCAGAGATAGAGCAGCTCTTGTCGCCCTCTGCTTCAGACCAGAAGTCCTTGCCCTGCAAAAAAGTGAGAAAGAAAAGGGTGAAAGGAAAAAATTTCCCATAAGCCCACATCTTGCAGCAGTGCTCATGAGTCTGGCCACATCTCATAGAAAATGACCTTTCTAGTGATGCATATCCATGTTTCTGGAGAGGGCTGCCCATCACACACTGGCAGTCATAAAAAAGGCTGAGAAAATCACAACTGTTGCAGCAAGATGGGCCCTATTCACGTGAATGAGGGGCATGAAACTCCTTCCTGCCGTGCACATGTGGAAGACAGTGGAGCGACATAACCTACAAATGAGGTTTTAAAGCCAAGGGGTGGTGCTAGGGAAGGGAGGGACAACCCTTCATAATGCCACAGGCTAGAATGGAAAGCAGTGTTATCACAGAGGAGTTCCCGAGTACCTACTGAGAGCAGGTGAGCTGCTCAGGCCTGCATGCACAGCAGCATATTCTGAAGTGAAACACCCAGCTGACATCACAGCACATTTGCAGGACTTCACGTGCACCTCCCCCATGCAGAGATACATGTGTAGACTCAGGCTTATTTCGGTACTTTCCCAACAAATATCTAGGCACAGGGAAGATTGGACTAAGTGTCATCAAAACTTCTAGTTACATGAGCACAACTCCGCTAAGCCTCCAGGGAGGCCTACTAGGAAGAAGGGAGGTGCAGCTGATGGGTGGGTCAGACCAGCAGCTTAAGTAGTAACATCTACAGCAGGAAGATATGCCAGGGGAGCTTTAGGTTGGACATTAGGAAGAGCTTCTTCACCCAGAGGGTGGTGGAGCACTGGAACAGGCTCCCCCGGGAGGCAGTCATGGTGCCAAGCCTGACAATATTTAAGAAGCATTTGGACAATGCCCTCAGCCATATGGTGTGAATTTTGGGGTTGTCCTATGCAGGGACAGGAGTTGGACTTGACGATCCTTGTGGGTCCCTTCCAACTCAGGACGCTATGATTCTACAATCTGATACAGGAAGTCACAGAGCAAGAAAGATGTGAGAGCAGCACAGCAAGTGCCAATAACACAAGACTACCAAGGCAGGGAGGACAGGAATCCTCTTTGTGAACTTTGCATTTGCTGTAACAGTCGCACAACTGTACACAGAAGTCCCTAGTGCAAGCTGGCTTCAACTTGTGATGAGCAGGGCCTGGCTGAAAGTGGGCACTACCTTCCCACCCGGCCTTCTTCACCCAAGGCAATAACCTGGCTTCTGACCAAAAATGGGGTGAAAGCACTAAGGAGCCCAAACAGATAGCCTGCTAACCATCAAAGACCTGGGCTAGTGATGAATGATCCTATTTCATAGTACCAACCCCTCACAACTGTGTTTTAAATAACTAAGTGCACTGGTGGAAACGAGGGAGGAAGTGAAAGCAGAAATTAAGTCAAACTCTGAAGGAAACCACAGTAATAAGTTCAAGAGACCATGAATTTCCCAACTTCTCAAAGGCTCTTCAAAGCCCCCAAGACCAAAACACAACCTCAAATACATCTAACACACACAATAGCCTACAGGCAACCATGAACTCTTTTTCATTTAATTGTACATCAGACTAACAGCTTCCTAAAACACAGGCTTAGCCTTTGCTGCTTTGTGTTTTTCTCTGTTCCATTCAAATCCCCGTTTCTGCTACTCACCTCTGCCCTAAAGAGTGTGCTGGCTGGGGAGAACGCAGTCCTCTCTGTCCTCTCCTTTGGGACCTGACAGGGCTCTGGAACAGGTCAGGGTGAGCCCTCTTCCTGGGCTTGACTTTGCTGGAGGAGAGACAGATGTTAATTCAGGTTGGAGAACTTGAGACAGAATCTCCGAGATTAAAAGGAAAGTGGGATTTAGCATGAAGTCTGTGGCAGGACCTTGGCTTTGTGCAAACTCCTCAGGAGTTGTCCACATCAGCAACATTTCTGTAGGCTAGGCAAAGCCTCAACTTGCACATATTTTGTTTTTATATAACATTTATTTTTAATTCAAAGTAATTCAGCCCAAACGCAAGGTGTTCATGTTACAGCTAGTAAACACCACTTCCTGAACCATCATGGCTTAGACCACAGGAGGCCTGAAGCAGTACTGAGCCTCTGCTACCCACATCCCATTTGCTTTGAATCCCACATTCATCACAGCGACCTTCTAGGGCTCTACCAGTATTGCCATCCCCACCAGCTCTAGCCTATGCCAAAAGTTTCATGTGGGACCACAGCATTACTTTACAGCTGGTCAGCTTAACCCATGCTGGCTAATTTGGGCTGATAATAGCCAGCTGACTTCGTACCATGACTACAGGCTGAACAAATCTCCGTCTTTCAAGGTGCAAGAAGTTGCACCATCCCCCGTTCACACCACCCTACATACAGAGGGGCAGATGTTCTCCCACAGTTCTGGCAGAAGCGTGACCCAACACAAGCCACTACAGCTGCAAGTTGCACACAAGTGGCCAGATGTGCTGGTGAAACTAGCCAAGTAGCACCAAAGAGATTTCTCACTCGCAAAAAACTTTACAGCAAAACCTCTTCCACCCAAACCATGCTACGATGACCTACTTCTCATTGATGAGAATTCCAGTAAATTGCTGGAGGGCCAGTTGAGCACAGTCAGGTGGTGATAAACAGCCTAAATAAAGCATCAGCCTGCAAAGGGACCAATGTAATTTTTCTTACAGCGAGAGGATGGAACAGAAATAGAAGTCAAGACACTTCCTTTGGGGGTTTGCCGCCTGCCATATCTTTCCAAGGAAAGCTCAGAATGTGGCTTTAAAACCCAGATTCCCTACATTTTTTGTCACACTATTTCACACTGCCAGGAAACTCCTTTGGTTCAGTCCAAACACTCACGAAAGAGGCAACCAAAAAGAAATGCACTATTGTCTTTTCCCACTCCCTGCTTTAAAAGAGGCAGCACAGACCACTCCAGTCTGGAAAGAAAGAGAGGCACGCTGCTCCATTTCCA